GAAGCACTTATTCCACTGAGCCATCTCCCCAGCCCCCAGGATTACAGTTTCAAAAATTATGGGTTTATCTCTGCAGAAGATTATGTTAACTTTGCATTTTATGGTAATTTATAGGCTGGGTGTGGCAGTATACACTTGTAATCCCAGCATTTGGGAGGCTGAGGCAGGAGCATCACTGAGTTTGAGGCAAGCTATGGCTGCATTTGGTATGGCTACATAGTGAATTCAAGGTCCAGTGACCAAGTCTCGGTGAAATGGCACACCCCCGTAATCCCAGTGCTGGGGAGGCTGAAAACAGAAGGATCACTACGAGTCTGAGCTGCATAGTGAGACCCTGTACCGAACACATAAAGATAATAATAATAATAATAATAATAATAATGATAATTCTTGTGTGGGGCAGTAAGGCTTAGGAATCCCAGGCGTTAACACCCTGAGTAATAACTACAGGGTTTTAGTAGGAGCCTTATGTACCTGGGTGCCTTCTCCACCCCCCATATGGGGACTGAACACAGACACGAGGCGGCTCGATCACAAGCCACATCCCCGGCCCAGCTGCTTGCTGAGGAGTCCCTCAGGTTCCATTGCACCAATTCTCAGTCTCATGTGTGAATGTTATAATGCAAACAGCTGACAGGTCCAGTTTTGTCTTCTATGCAGATAAGTGCTGCCAATCTGTACTCAGTATTGTGCCTCTTATTGCATGTGTGCAGGTTCTCCAGCAAGTGGATAACAAGTTTATCGCCTGTTTAATGAACACTAAGACTGAAGACAATGGCGGAGGAGGTAGGACTAGAACTTAGCCTGGATTAACAAACCAGCTCATCTTCTGATAACCTTCCTTTAAGGTTATTTTTGGTATATAATGCAGTTTCAGGGATTTCAACAGTTTAAGAAAAATCAGTCTAAATTTAGAACTTTATGAAACAAAAGGGTATTTTTGTTCTTGTTTGTTTTTTTGAGACAGGATCTGAACTCATTGTGTAGACCAGGCTGGCCTCAAACTCGTGGTGATCCTTTTGCCTCAGCCTCCTGAGGGTTGGAATTACAGGCATGCGCCGTCACACCCGTCCAGTCAGCACATACTGAGTGTCTATTTTATGCCAGCTGTTGTACCAGGCCTTAGGGATACGATGATGGAAAAAGGTGGACATGCGGAAGTAGTTATGCAGTCACACTAGCTGTAGCTCTGGTTAGGTAGGTGAATTAGAGGATACTAGCAATGCTATTTTGTTAGAGAGGCCAAAGAAGCATTCTTGGTAGAATGGTATCTGAAGTCTAAGTTAAGCAGGCTAGACAAGAGGGATTGCAGTTTTCCATGTCCTCCTCTTCCACGAGCAGGGGCAGGTACAGCAGCTAGAGATGAGGCTCGAGAGGTGATTAGGAGCTAGAGCCTCAGTGCCGTACAAGCTTTTGTTCTGCTTTTGTGTTCTGAGACAGGATCTTGCTGTGCAATTAAGCCTTCCTTGAGCTCAGTATAGAGATGAGGCTTGCCTTGAACTTCCTGTGATCTTATTTCTCAGCATCTTGAGTGTTAGGATTTCGGGGGAGCACCCCACACACCTGCCAGCTACAAGCTTTGATTTGTACCAACACAAACTGGAAACGAGTGAAAGATTTGTTTATTGTTTTTTTCTTTCTTTCTTTTTCTGTATTTTAAGGAAGGGTCTGCACGGTGTTCAGAGTCTCGCTACTAGATCAGACTCATAGTGATTCTCCTATTTTCGTTTGTTTTTTTTTTTTTCTTTTTCTTTTATTCTCCTGTTTGTTGTAACTTAAAAATGAGGCAGGCTCGAAAAGAAAAGAAGCGCTTTATTTTAGCTGGTACCCAGCAGCAGACACCCCAGCAAGATGCTGAGGTGCATGCCAGGAGGATGAGGGGAGGGGATATTTAAGCCAATAAACCACAAAAGCTGACATCAAGGGTTCATCTACGGACTACAGCTGACAAATTACCTGTTTCTAATGAACAATAACAGGTGCAGTGGTGGGTACAGTTTGTAGCTGGGAATGAGGGCAAGATCAGGGCATTGGGCTGGAACTAGATTCAGGTGTGCACAAAGGCCAGCGTGAGAAAGGCCCAACTGCAGGTTCTCAAGTAGAGAACGGGGCACAGTGGAAAGCTACAGCGTTTAGAATGGCGCATACAGAACAAGATGGCAGCGTGTATGTCAGGTTATAACAGTTAATAAAGTTACAGTGGGAGCATACAGAGTTACAAAATTGGAATCAATTGCACAGGTTATAACACTGTTTACAGCCTCCCAAGTGCTGGAATTACAGGCACAGGCCACCACACCCACTCTCTATCTCTGTCCCAGGGGCCGGGGAGATGGTTCAGTAGAATAAGTGCTTCCCTGACAAGCTCAAGGGTCTGAGTTCAATCCTTGGTTCTGTCAAAAAAAAAAAAAAAAAAACCAGAAAAAAGGCTCAGTCACTAACAGTGCTCATCAGGGCTGGGTCCAGCATGGCCCCTGCGCCTGCTTCCAGGTGCTTTAATATTGTTTGATTTTTTTTTTTTTTTTTTTTTTTTTTTTTTTTTTTTTTTTTTGCGGAACCGGGGGTTGAACTCAGACCCTTGCGCTTTCTAGGGAAGCGCTTATTCCACTGAGCCATCTGCCTGGCCTATTGTTTGATTCTTGATGTTGTTTTGTAAATTTTGAAAAAGTTGCTCTGGTTGCCTTGGCGAGAATGGATTTTAAGTGGGGAGGGATTCCCAGTAATTCTAGAGGCGCTGTTAGCGGGCCCTTACAATACAGTATGGTACCTAGGAGCTGGGCACTGGGAAAACGAGTGCATTGGGAAAATCCCGAGGAGACCACGTCAGCAGGACTTGGTGACCACGTGGACATGGAGGAGACTGTTGAACGTGGCTTCTACTATCTTTCTGGTCTCCGTAGCTGGACAGATGATGTTGCAATAGGAAGCTGGAGATATAGCAGGCTAGCAGCATGACAGTTGTGAGTTTATTCTAACTTCTCTTTGAAGTGCTCAAGAAGAAATCCCAGGAATGTACTTGGATATTACACATGAGGACCAGAAAAATGACCTGCTGATACACATTGGAGTAAGCAGTACAAAATTGGTCGTTAAAATCCTAGCATAGGGGCTGGGGAGATGGCTCAGTGGTCTAAAGCACCTACTTAGAACAAGCTTAGCAAAGCCCAGGGACCGCAGTTCAATCCCCCAGCACCACATGCCAGCCAGCCCCGCCCCCTGGTGGGCAGAGCTGGCCACACACACACACACACACACACACAAATAAATACATAAAATTTAAAAAAAAAATCCCAGCATAAATTTTTTTTTTTATTTTCAGTATTGGAGGTTAAACCTAAGGCTACATTCCCAGCCCTTTATTTATTTGTTTGTTTTTGAGACAGGGTCTCCTTAAGTAGTTTAGGCTGTCCTTGAAATTGCTTATGTAGCCCAGGCTGGCTCAGGCTTTCAGTGATCCTCCTGCTTCAGCCTCCCGAGTGCTGGGATTACAGGGTGTACTACCACTCCTAGTACTTTTTTTTATTTTGAAGTTTTGAGACAATGTCTCAGAAAGCAGCTGAATGGCTGTGCTTCCTCTTGCTATCTGTGCCTCGCCCCCTCCCCCCCCCATCGTTAGAACCACAGGTATGCACCACCACCCTGCCTGGAGTCCAGGGTCTTTGCATTGAGCTACAACTGCCAGTCCTGCTTGCTTGTTATTTTGAAACAGTCTCAATAAATTGCTGCATTGTCTGGGGATCAGATGTGAGATCCTCCTGCTTCAGTCCCCCAGAGTGCTGGGACTACAGGCACACACCATCCTGTCCAGCTTCAGGGGTGTAGATTTTATCATCTGAAGAAGAGTGAATAGTGAGAAAAGGTCCTGAATAATTAACAAGGTAGAGTAGGAAAGTATGAACTAGCAAAGGGTATTGTGAAAGAACAGCTACAGAAAGAAAAACAGAGTATTATTTTTTAAAGCCAAGAACTCATGCCAAGAACTCATCATGAGTAAGATGGGAATTGTTCCATTTTGTGATGGTGACAGATGAGAGCTTTAAGAGAAGAAAGGGCGCTAGCAGCCGTGAGGCGAGCTGCATATGGCTGCGATGTGAGTGGAAGGTGAGCCTCCTCCCGGGAGTGGGTCTTTATTTTTGCGGGGGCAGGGGAGAGTCTACAGGGTGTTCAGCGTCTCCCCACTAGATCGGACTTTGAATGATTCTCCTGTTTACAGCCTCCCAAGAGCTGGGATTACAGGTGGCACCACCACGCCCAGTCTCAATTGCCTTCTCAGCATGCCTTGGGGGCGGGGCCAGCATGGCAGGCCCAGGGATTGAACCCCTGGCCACTGCGCCTGCTTGCAGACACTTTAATCCGCTGAGCTATAGTACCCCATTTCTATGGCTTTGCTTTCTCTTTTTCAGTATTTAGGACAGAGTCTACAGGGCCTCACTACGAAGATTAGACTCGTAGTGATTCTGTTTTCAGCCTCCCAAGAACTGGGATTAGAGGCACACGCCACCACGCACAGTCTCAGTGCACACTGGGGGCAGGTCTGGCACGGCACTTTGGGGATTGAACCCCAGCCACTACCTAAGCAGGTGCTTTAGTCCACTGAGCTATCAGGCCAGCCCTTCTGTGGCTTCACTTTCTGCAGTTTGTTGCCCATAGTCAACCAAGTTAAAATATTAAATAAAAATTGTAGAACTAGTTGATGAATTTTAAATCTTGCACTGTCCTGAGTAGCCTGATGGGATCTGACACTGGCCCACCCTCGCCCACTCAGGGTGTGAACTGCCAGAGTCCAGGGTCTCCGTGCTGTCTTTGCGCACTGCCCGCCTGCTCCGTAGGAGCTGTTTGAAGCGACTGGATCAGTGTCGCAGTATTGCAGTTGCTGACATTCAAGGTGGCAGACCCACGAGGCACACAGATGTTAAGCAAAAGGAGCTATTTAAATTTCTCTTGAGATTTCATATTATTGGATTAGCTAGATACCATCAAAGACTGTTCTTAGTAAAAGGTGAATGATTTCTGTAGACTACAATGTATTCTTAAGTAAATACATTTTTCTAAATTGAAATTCAGGAATTTTTTTTAAAACATTTATTTAGAGAGAGAGAGAGTGTGTGTGTGTGTGTGTGTGTGTGTGTGTGTGTTTGTGGCCAGCTCAGCCCACCAGGGGGCGGGGCGGGCTGGCATGTGGTGCTGGGGGTTTGAACCGCGGTCCCTGTGCTTTGTCAAGCTTGTTCCAAGTAGATGCTTTAGACCACTGAGCCATCTCTCCAGCCCTAAATTCAGGAATTTTTATTGCCATTCATAAATCCCAAATGCAACCTATTCCTCTAAATGAATTACTTTAATTTTGATGCTTACTTACTTTAATGGACAAATATATATTATTATTTTAAATATAGCAAAGGGGCCGGCAAGCTAGCTCAGCAGACTAAGGTGCCTGCTTAGGCACACGCACCGCAGTTCGATCCCCTGCACCACATATCTAGCCAGCCCTGACCCCAGCGTACACTGAGCCCAACCGAATCCAAGCTTGGTGGCTCACGCCTGTAATCCTAGCACTGGGGAGGCTGAAAACAGGATCACTATGATTCTAGGCTGCATAGTGAGACTCTGTAACAACCAAATACATTAAAAAAATAATAATAATAGGGGCTGGCCGGATAGTTCAGTGGACTAAAGTGCCTGCTTAGGCAGAGTACAGCGGCTGGGGTTCAATCCCTGGCCTGCTGTGCCAGCCCGGCCCATGGGGTACGCTGAGACTCTTGATTGAGGCTGGGTGTGGTCGCACACACCTGTAATCCCAGCTCTTGGGAGGCTGAAAGCAGGAGAATCACTGAGTCCAGTCTATGTAGTGAGACCCTGTAGACCCTGTCTTAAATACAGAAAAAATAATAGTTCTTATTTTAAAACAAATAAATAAATATAGTAAAATATCAATGCTATACATTGGCTTTTTTTTTTTTTTTTTCCGGGAATTGAACTCAGGACCTTGTGCTTGCCAGGCAAGTGCTTGTACTGCTGAGCTATATGCCCGGCCCTGTATTGATATTTGTATGTTGCATGTTTCTATCAATAATAAAATATAATTTGTTCAGTTATCACACCCTAAACTATAAGAATTCACTCCTTTATTGTATAAATATATATGAAGTACCTACTAAGTGCCAGGCACCTTTTTATGTGAGATTGGACAACAGACAACAATCCCTGCCTTTGTGAAGTGTTTATCCTGTTGTGATAGAATATTAAAAACATAACTTCTATCATGAGTAAATTGACCTATGTTCTGTTTCATTCAAGAAATGGAATATGTCATAAACATGGTAGACAATGAAAAACCATTCTGTGAGTCAGTTGCAGACTTGATTTCAGAGGTCCTCTGACTTTTTAATTTTTATTTTAGGGTGTTGTTGTTGTTTTGCGGAACTGGGAATTGAACTCAGGCCCTTGCGCTTGCCAGGGAAGTACTTATTCTACTGGGCCACCTCCCCGGCCCTATTTTATGTATTTGGTACAGGGTCTCACAACGCAGCTTGGACTTGTAGTGATCCTGTTTTTAGTCTCCCCAGCGCTGAGGTTACAGGTATGCACCACCATGCCCAGTCTCAGTGGCTGGCTCAGCTCGCCCAGGAGGAGGGCCAGCACATCATGTGGTGCCTGGAATCGAACTCTCCATCCCTGTGTTTGCCTGAGTAGGTGCTTAGTCTGCTATCTCGCTGACCCTCTGACTCTTGAAAGTTCATACTGTGTCTAGTTTCCAGTTTGAAGTGAGCCTCTCATAGTTATGATTTATTTCATTGTTTTGCCCATACAGGATATTCAGTATTCATCACAACAGCTGCAGCTCCTCCTACCCTCAAAGGAATTTAAGGGGGCCGGGGAGATAGCTCAGTTGAATAAGCGCTTGCCTGGCAAGCGCGAGGGTCTGAGTTCAATCCCAGGCTCTGCGGGGAAAAAAAAAGTAAAAAATGGAAAAAGACTTCAGTGACTATTTATTCACATTCAAAGGAATTTAAAATTCAGCACTTTAGGGGCTGTTCTTGTTGTTGAACATACTGTTAGAAAATTTATCTTCTTTATTTTCCTTTAAACCCTAAGCTCTCAGGCCACATATTTGATAGTATCATAGGAAAAAAAAATCTTTAGTAGGAGTAAGAAAAATAGACATTATGTATTTTGATCAAATTAAAGCATAACCCTAGTCCAATAAAATCAGTAGCAGTAAACTCAACCTTTTGGCCAAAAGTAATAAAATTCTAATCCTAAAATGTGTACTGATGTCCTCTAGCCCTTCTGTCCATAAGAAGGAGGTACAGGTAGTGACTCTGGGTCCTCACTTCTTTTTTTTTTAATTTTTTTTTTTTTAATTTATTTGAGAGAGAGAGAGAGAGTGGTGTGTGTGTGTGTGGCCAGCTCAGCCCACCAGGGGGCGGGACTGGCTGGCATGTGGTGCTGGGGGATTGAACCGCGGTCCCTGATGCCTTGCGTAGCTTGTTCTAAGTAGGTGCTTTAGACCACTGAGCCATCTCTCCAGCCCCATGGGTCCTCACTTCTTGAGGTCCAAAGCCCTGCTCTTCAGGTGATGCCTGGAGGTGGATCACCCAGGCATCTGAGAATTCACAGGCTGTGTGCCTGCATTAATCCCAGAAATCAGGAGTTGTATTTACATAAGTGTCAGGTTTGATGGAAACCTGCTCTGAAGCAGCATCAGTGGCTGTGGGCAAACCCAGCCCCTGCCTGTTCTATGCAGCTGGGGAGATTATGGCTTTATGTTCCTAAATGGAGAAACAAAAGAACATTTTTCCACAGTAAAATTGTGTGAAATACTTATTTCAGTGTCTATAAATAAAGTTTTATTGGAACGCAGACACAGTACTCACACAATGTTTGTGGCTGCTTTGGCTCACTGTGAGCACTTGAGTAGTCCTGACAGAAAACATTTGGCGCAAGAAATGTTTTCTTTTTAAGAAATGTTTTCTATCTGCCCTTTCACAGAAAAATTCCTGGCCTCTGTTCTCAAGTGTTGAAGAAGTACATTCTTCGGGGTTTGAGAATGCCTTGCAGATCAACAGCCACTGATTATAATAACATCTAATGATTTTTCACTTCATTGTCTTCAAGTTGAATTAAAAAGTGAAATCAGTATTTAAACACTAGGAATTCAGACCTTAATCTTGTTTTATAAATGAAGCACTGATGAATTAACAAATTTTCATCAGGGATAAAAGTATTATTTTCTCCATTTCTACTTTTTAGGAAATAAAAGACAGAATCATCACTACTTGATGTATTTTCTCTTATGGCTATGTTGTTAAATAGGTGGCATGAAGTTTTTTTAATTCTTCTGCACAGCGTAATTATTTTAAGTTTGATCTAAGAATGCAACATCTCAGGAGCTGTTGATCCTCTTGTAGGTGGAAACCTGTTAGTCCTGGTGGACCAGCACGCTGCACACGAGCGTATTCGCCTGGAGCAGCTTATCGCTGGTAAGGACTGCCGTGCGTGGGCACATCGGAGACTAGCAGGGTCGCATCCTCACTGTGACCGGTGTAAGAAAAGATGTGTTATAGATTTAAAACGTAAGCTAAATCTCCTCCAGTTTGGCTTGTATTGCAACTGAGTGAATGTAGTAGCCGGTTCATTAATTTAAACACGTGGATTTTATGTACATGTCAGGGCATCTTCGCTGCATGCTTACTGAATTGGGCTCACAGTGGCGCTTAGCACAGAGATGCATCTCTGCATGCCCGGGTGGTCTTGGTGTGCCTTCTCCACAGTTTGTTAGCTCAAAAAGTCAAGTGGATTCTTTTTATGTCAAAATCTAGTTTATTTTTGAAGTATGATCAGATAGATCTAAATTCTAAAAGGTACAAGAGGAAATATAATAAATCTTCCTTTATACCTTTGTCCAAAGTCTCATACAGTTTCTCTTCTCACAGGCAGCCGTGTCTCCCCAAAGTCAAAATATGCTTTTTAGGCTTTGCCAAGCAGCTTTGTCACTATAAGGCAGTGTATTCGCCAAGTAGTAAAATCCCAGGAAAATCTTTACTCCCATGGTCAAGTAATGAAAGAGCTTAGTGTCAGAGAGCCAGGTGAGGACCTAGGAAGGCATTTCCTGGGCCAGAATGGCCGTGATACTGCTACCGTCTTCGTTTTTCCTTATAAAAAGATAACAAAAACAGTGTGACTAAAGGTTACTTGCTGTGGGCCTGCTCCACTTGAGCATGGCACAGTGCATTGTCTTCAGTGTTGGGGAGACCCTTCTGCCGGAAGAGCCTCCCTGAGCCGTAGGCTCCTGTGAGGAACCTGCATATTTCCCTTGTAATCCAAAGTGTGCGCCTCTGTTACTGATCACAGATATTACCTGTAGGAACATGGCCTCGTTCATTTGAATGAGATTAATCCTTATGTTTCTTACTTTAAAATTCTGCTAAAATTAATTTCACTGGGTTGATATTTCCTAGATTCACTTTATTTTATTTATGTATTTATTTTTGCAGTACTGGGCATTGAACTCAGGACCTTGTGCTTGCCAGGCAAGTGCTTAGATTCACTGTAATAACGGAAACCCAAAGTGTAGTACTGAATGTTGAATGCATTACTAAGCACTTAGAACACTTTTTTTAAAAAACATTTGTATAATGGCCATGCTTTATAATGCTTTGTTGTTACTTGAATATAGAAGACTTCTTCCTACGCTTAACCTGTTCACCTTTCTTCCAATAGACTCATATGAGAAGCAACAACCCCAAGGCTGTGGTCGGAAAAAATTACTGTCCTCCACTATAATTCCTCCCTTAGGGATAACAGTGACCGAGGAACAAAGGAGGCTCTTAAGGTTAGTAGGGTTGAGGAGGTGATGTTGATAGTATAAATTCTCAGTGATTCTTTGAGGTAGAAGCATGACTGTTGCTCTGTTCAGAAGAGGAAGAAGTGGAGACAAGGAGAGGTTGCCTGGCTTGGTGAAGGGCACAGCCGTTTTTAAAGGCTGGAGCAGGCAGCCAAAGGCAGGTCTTTGACTTCCTGCGCCTTCTTCCCACTCACTCGGTCACAGCTGTTGAGTGTAGGATGGGTTTCCCTGATAATTTTTTCCAGCAGTTGGCTTAGAACACTCTTCCCATTTCTTGGAACACGCAAATGTTTATGCTGTGCTGTTTCTGAAGGCAAAGTCAGGCTGTAATTGCTTCCATTCTGCTTTGTCCTGATTCACTCTGGAGTCTTCGTCACCATCATCTTACTAGGAAGAAAGTAAAACACTGGACTGTTTTCCCACTTCTGGACAGTGCAAATTGTGAAAATAAGATAAATAGGCATTTATTTTAGGTTTGGGAACACACTGCTGCCAACATGCCTTTCGTCTAGGACAGGACTGCTACCCAGGACAGTCCCCGGACGGCCTGCGAATTGCCTCGCTGCTTCCCGCTCTCAGAGCTTGTCTCTGAGCCGGACTCCTTCAGTTCCAGCAGCAGGAAGCAAGCAGCTCCTCAGTGAGAAATAAAATTAGGCACAAGATTCAGCAAGGAATGGACTCCCCTACGGGAAGTGGGAGAAGGACGAAGGCATGGCACACAGCGGCGAGCGCCCGCCCCCACAGAGACTCCTTGAGCGCGCATGGGGACTGTGGGGACCTGGAGGCCGAGGCTGGGCGTCTGCTGCTTCTGCGTGCAGCGGCGCTCCTGCGCCTGCTGCCCCACTGCCCTTGCGCCTCAGGACCATTATTAGGCAAAGTAAGGGTTACAGGCCTGCGCTGCTGTGCTGAGCGCTTCAGCCGAGCTAAGGCGCTGGTGGGTGTGCAGCCAGCACGGGGAGACCCCGCAGAGCGTGGTTCCCGCGCTCCTGAGCACGTGTGCGACCCAGACCGGGGTTGGTTTCCGAGGCACCGCCCCAGCAGAAGGATGGCCAGCATGCGTCGCCCGGCTCAGACCTCGGTACCTAAAAACTCTCATTAGCGAATTATTTATTTCTGGATCATGGCTAACTACAGATAACAGATCTTGGATAGGGAAGCCATATATGGGGGAACCACTGGAATTTTTAAAAATTAGATAATAAAATCTCTGACACGTACAAATATGAGAAAAACAAAACTTAAAGTTTGTGCCAGCTTTTGAAGATCTTATCAAGCATTTAGAACTAGTAGTGAAATGTGGGTTAGGTAAGTTTTACATTTGAGGCTATCTCCTCAGGTGCTACCACAAAAATCTGGAAGACCTGGGCCTTGAATTTATGTTTCCAGACACGAGTGATTCTCTGGTCCTTGTGGGAAAAGTACCACTGTGTTTTGTAGAAAGAGAAGCCAATGAACTTCGAAGAGGAAGGTCTCCTGTGACCAAGAGTATCGTGGAGGTAAGACATAGCTTCCTGCGTCCAGGAGCTGCTGGATGATAGCAGCCTCACGTTTTGTGTAGTCTCTTCATTCGCCTTTATTCAGTATGCATTTATGTTATTTTCTTACAGTCTGTGGGCTTCTAGAAATGTAAAGATGTATTAGCTCTAGGTGAAGGGAGGAAATCTAGATATTTATAGCACAGTGAAATACAGCAAGTGAAGGTGTATTTAGAAAGCATTTCAGAAACAGAATGATGACTGTGCCCAGGAAGAGGTCAAGGAAACTGCTATAGAAAGGCTATTTTCTTTTTTTTTTTTATATTTATTTATTTTTTTATT